ATTAATAAGATGAAAGTCCATAACAAACGCCTTCTTTTACCTCATTAATTGAATTTTGATGCAATCAAATGAAATGCAATACTTAGTTCTGCTATTAGCACAAAAATTCATGCATCAGCATGCCTGTTTACGTTTTCTGACACACACACACTGTACATGGTAACACATGAAAAAAATGTGTAAATAACTGTATAATGACCACCAGCCAGCACAATCCATACCTCTGCTTCCCTTCACCACTTCCACATAATTCCCAGGAAACCACCCCTTCTTGTTTCCCAGTTTTCCCAGCCACCAGCCACTGTCATCCCTCTCCAGCACATCAATAAGGTCTCCTGAACACAGGGAGATCTGATCCTCTGCCTGGGATTTATACGGGTAAACCACTTCATACTGATTCACTACTGGAATGACACAAGTGATACCATTACTAATTTGGCATTTGAAAATTTCACAAATTCTGGCCTTCCTATTGGTCGTTACTGCAGCAGACATTTTCCAATATTTACTGCACAATCCATCTAGATTTCCTTTTAATTCATTTTTAAAGCTAAATGTAGAAGGAAGAGAGCCATTCACTGCAGCAAATCCCTGCTGCACACTCAGCACAGTAACAACTGCATATGCTTTTCTTTTTTTTTTTTTGGTTAAGAATGTCTTTTTCACGACCACTCACGCGGCAGTATACTTTTGTGCGTTTTTCTTCTGTTAAATATAACTGCAAAACTTAATGGACACGAAGTATAGAAAATTTTACATCATGGAATTTCGCCAAAGTGATTGCTTTGCCTTTGGTGGATACTGGAAAAGATCGGCAGTGGAACTCAGCACTTAATTTAAATCAAACGGTTCGGTAACAAACAAAACGCAATTTTCATTCAAATATTATAACTAAAAGTGCCCAAAAATCAATAAACCAATCACTTTTCGGAAGTGTTCCTATTTAGACCTAACCACTAACGTACTTCACGGGCGCTGTACGGTCAGCAGACTCCTCAATGTTTACAATCAGTAGTCGCGTGGTTCCGGTTTCAAGAATTGTGGGTACAATATCTAGGTCAAGTTATAGAAAGGTAAAGGTCGAATCGGTGTACAATCTTGTAAAATTTACTCAGATGATCTACCGATGTAAGCATGAAATTACCAAGGTTTTTGCAACGAGTCACGGGCATTCGTAAGGTACTTTATGTCGGAATTTGAACTAAAATCTCCCTATCGACATCGTCACAGCCGGTGCTCGAGTGAGTGGGTGCTCAAGAGCACTTGTTTCAATTTCAAATGCTTTGCCTAAGCAATAATTAATATTGTTCATAAATGTTCATTAAGATGACGTTTGCTTCTTTTGGTCAAACTTAAAGAAAGGTTGCTAATTAAAAGGTGGGTTTCTCTATTTCATTTGTTAGTATGTTACAGTGTTTCTTTAACACCGAATTGTGGCGAGATCTTATTTAATTATTTATTGATTTTAAAAGCACTCGCACATCATTTTCGTGCTAGAATGGAGCCTAAAACTATTTTACCTCATATGTATATATATGAATCTAAGAACTATATAAACGAAGTACTCCAATTAATCGAGGTACTCTCAACTACATTTTTTTCTTTTTCTTTTCTTTCTTACAATAAATCATTTTCGACATGTCAATATCTCTTCCTTACAGAGAAGACAGAAGATGGTCCTAGAGTCGAAAAAGCAAGATACTTCAAGAGGAAATAAGCTACTCAGAGCATACTGGGGGCCTGCCAAGAAGGCGTGCCTCTCAGCACCCCAAAAGGGTGGTATATATGCAATAGGATTACGAGGTTTTAGGCATCCCATTTACATTGGACAGTCTAACAACATCAGAGACAGACTTCAAACACACTTTAGAAAGTCTTCCAATGTACAAGCAATAGACAAATTTGTTAACATTATACCAAAGAGATTATTCAAGGTGAAATATGTGCAGGACAGGCACCATAAAGATTATGAAGGAGTCTATCTTGCACACAATCTGAAACACACAGGATCATGGCCAGTGTTTAACTTAAAACATGGAAATAGTCGAAAGAAAAAGAGCTTCTGGAAATTTTGGGAATGGTGAAGACACCTTTGATTATAATTAATAATGTGTTAGAGGACATTTTACATGGTTCAGATTACTTCTCATCGGTCACTTAGCCATATTCATCCTGGCTTGATGTAGGTAATTGCAGGTGTCTGTAATACAACTCTAGATAAAAAATAAATAGATAAATAAAAAAAAAAAATAAATTCCAAGATCCACCCTGAAATCCCACCCTTAAAACAAATGTGTGTACACAATATTCTGTTATTTATAATTTATTTATTTATGAGAGAGTGAGAGAGATTGGACTGTATAGTGCCTATAAATGGTAGTATATGGATGTGGCAGCCTTTTACTGAATTCCAAAAATGTTTCTATTTTGATTCCACAAATATGACTTGTATTGTTTAGATGCCATCTGAGAGCAAGTAATGAAAGTCTATTCACAGTTACAGAAAAAAAAATAGTTACCTTCAGAAGTTCCTTCTTCTGCATCCAAGGGGCTGGAAATGACTTCTTTAGATAATTCTCTCCCAAAATGTCTGCCAGGTTTATGTATTGGCTGAAAAACATAATAAATATAAAATGAACCTTGTTTCTGCTTTTTACTATAAGATTGTAAATGATTAATTTACCTTTATAACATACTTCTTTTGCACCAAAAACAAAAAATTCTGCTTTATGCCAATGTTACTTAAGCGAACAACTGACCAGTTTATAATAACCAATGTGACAAACAATTATCAGAAAAAAAAAACTCAAAAATTAACCAATCCATATAAGATACCATTTCAATAAAATACAGTTGGTGACAATTTTCACAAGTACACTCTATAATGATCTCAGCTACACCAGCC